CATGCGCGCGCGACGACGCGCGCGTGCGCACTTCGTCCCATTCTTTTGCAGAGGATTCTCGCGACGGCACGCGCGCAAGGGCGTTCGAAAGATTTCGACATGCGCGCGCGAAGCCCGTTTGGTAGCATTTTTGGAAAATCTTGAGAATTTCTATGGTTTTCTGAAGATTTCGCAAGGGCGGGCGCGTAAGCTTTTTTTTGAAAATCACTGTTGCGAGACCCTGTGTGTGTTGTATGTTTTTTGGAAACTCGATTTTGAAATCCTTCCGAAACCGAAGGTTTTGAAGGATGTCGGCATGCGCGCGCGACGACGCGCGCGTGTGCACATCGTCCCATTCGTTCCATCGGAGTTTTTGAATACTTATGATTTTTAACAAACGAGTGTGCGCATAGTATTTTTTGCAAAGGACGGCGGGGGATCGAAACCGGTTTGGCTGGGATAGTGTGAGTTCACAGATAGGATGGACATTTCGGGTCAGAACCCTATCTGTTTTACATAGGTTCCTGGGGGGTCTTTAACTCGGGGTGGGGAGGGTGGTAGAACCTATTATTTCTTCAGAAAAGAGAATCTATATGGTGCAATTAATTTCTGTTCGCAGTGCGTTGTCCACTCCACTGCTCGCGCAAACATCCCACCCACCCACCCGCAACTTGGTTTGCAAAATCTCTTGAGACCGTGACGGTGGGTACCACATGGCGCTTGGCAACAACAGCGATGCCGACGACGACAGCGACAACGACGATGACGACGCCGCCGACAACGACTACGACGACACCGACGACGTCCCCAACGACTTCGACTACGCCGACAACGACGACGACGCCGACACCGACGACGACGACGACACCGACGACGACGACGACGATGACAACGACGACGACGGTGACGACGCCGACGACGACGATAACGACGACACCGACGACGACGACGACGACGTCAACGACGCCGACGACGACGACGACGACGGCGGCGACGACGACGACGCCGACGTCGACGACGACGAAGACGACAACGACGCCGACGCCGACGACGACGACGAAGACGACGACGTCGCCAACGAAGACAACGAGGAAGGAGGGAGGACGACGACGGCGACAACGACGACAACGACGAGGGAGGAGGGAGGACGGCGACGACGCGAACGACGAAGATGGAGGAAGGACGGCGACGCCGACGACGGCAACGACGAGGGAGGAGGGAAGACGACGCCGACGACAACGACGACGACGACGACGACGACGGTGACGAAATAGGAGGGACCGACGACGAGACGCCGACGACGGACGACGACGACGACGTGGGAGGAGGAGGATGGACGACCACGGCGACAACGACGACGGAAACGACCACGACGCCACAGAGGACGACGACTACGAACACGAGAAAAGACAGAGGACGACGTAGGCGACGACGACGACGACGACGCGGGAGGAGGGAGGACGGCGACGACGACGACGACGACGCAAGAGCGCGCGCGCACGCTTTTGTTGAAAATCCGTGTTGCGAAACCTTAGGTTTTTGTAAGTTTTTGGACGCACGATTTTGAAATCCTTCCGAAACCGATGGGTTTGGAAGGTTTCCGGCAAACGCCCGCGACGACGCGCGCGTCTGCACTTCGTCCAATTTTTTGCAGAGGATTCTCGCGACGGCACACGCGCAAGGGCGTTCGACTGATTTCGACATGCGCGCGCGCGAAGCCCGTTTGGTAGAATTTGTGAAAATCTTGAAAAACCTATGGTTTTCTTAAGATTTCGCAAGAGCTCGCGCGGAAGCTTTTTTAGCAAACCAGTGTTGCGAAACCCCGTGTTTTTGTACGTTTTTTGGAAACTCGCTTGCGAAATCCTTCCCGCACCGAAGATTTTTGAAGGATTTCGGCATGCGCGCGCGACGACGCGCGCGTGTGCACACCGTCCCGTGTTTGTGCAAGGGATTCGTGAACAAGTGTTATGTGGGAACAACAAATGTCACCGCATAGTGTTTTTTACAAGGGGACCTCAGGGCGGGGGAACCCGGCCTGGCTGGGATGGTGTGATTTCATACTTAGGATGGACGAGTGGTCCGAATCATATATGATTTGCATACCCGAAAGGGGAACCGATAAGTCCTGGGGTGGGGGGGTAGAGTCTATTCTCCTTTCAGAAAGGAGAATATATGTTGTACAATCTTGGCAGCGACGAGGCGTCGACTGCGAGCACGCAGCCGCCAGACCGACACCCAGTTCCAGACGACGGGGGGCGTCGAGGCGGCGACAGGGCGGCGACGGCGAGCACGGAACCGCCACACCGACACCCAGGCCCAGACGACGGGCGGCGACGAGGCGGCGACGGGGCGGCGACGGCGAGCACGGAGCCGCCAGGCCGACACCCAGGCCTAGTTCCGTAGGACAGAAGTACGAAACACTTAGTTCAAGCACTGTTTGGGGAACATCGGACTATCGCATGTTCAAGGGAGATCTTCCTTGACATCCAGGCGATACCTTTGTTCTCACTGGGCGTTTTCGTTCAGCCGCGGGTCACGGCACCATTGCAGATCGATCCGCTCGGAAAAATGCAGTGGAAATACTGGGTACGATGTTGCATCTTTTACGTAAAGTCGGATCTCAGGGTTCCTGGGAAGAATGAAGGGCTATCGGGCCCGATGAATGGGGCGGGCGAGGCGCCGTGAAGGCAGGCTTGCCCAAGTCTAAGACTAGCCCGTCCTCAGAACCTGGCAGGTCAGGGACATCCGGCTCGGGGACAACATCCTCGACGACACCGGCGCGGTCGAGCTGGCCACCGAGCTGGGCTACAACCGCGAGTTGCGCGCGCTGGACCTGCGGAACACCACGATGTCGCCCAAGGTTTCGGGTCGGAGGGCGAGAAGGAGGTGGAGGAGGAGGAGGTGGAGGTGGGGGAGGGGGAAGAGAGTAAGGGAGGGGGAGGGAGAGCAGGGTCAGACGAAATCTGCTTCGGACGAGGGGGGATGAGGAGGAGGGGGAGAAGGAGGAACATTTGGAGCAGGGGGAGGGGGAGGAGGAGCAGGAGGAGGAAGAGGAAGAGGAGGAGGATGAGGAAGAGGAGAGGAGGGAGGCGAGGACGAGGATGAGGACGAGGAGGGGGAGGCGGAGGATGAGGATGAGGATGAAGAAGATGGAGATGATGATGATGATGATGATGATGATGATGATGATGATGATGATGATGATGATGATGATGATGATGATGATGATGCTGATGCTGATGCTGATGCTGATGCTGATGCTGATGATGATGATGATGATGATGCTGACGGTGATTATGATGATGATGCTGATGATGATATTGATTGTTATCATGAATATGATGTTGAGGATGATGATGTTGCTGATAATGCTGGTGATGCTGCTGAGGAGGAGGAGGAGGAAATTAATAATAAGAATCCTAATAATGCTGATGCTGAAGATAATGATGATGCTGATGACGATTGATCACGATGATGCTGCTGATCTTGATTATGATGATGGTGACTATGACGATGACGATGACGATGGCGGTCATGATGATGCTGCCGACGATGATGATACTGATGATGATGGTGATGATGGTTATGCGGAGGGTGATGCTGATGATGGTGATGATGATACTGATGATGATGCTGATGGTGATGCTGCTGACGATGGTGATGAATCTGATGATGATGATGATGACGATGGTGGTGATGTGTCTGATAATACTGTTGACCATGCTGGTGATAGTGATGATGATGCTGATGGTGATGGTGATGCTGATGATGATGATGCTGGTGATGCTGCTGCTGATGATGATGATGATGATGATGCTGGTGATGCTGCTGCTGCTGATGATGATGATGGTGATGATGATGATGATGATGATGATGATGATGATGACGATGACGACGACGACGACGAAGATGATGAGGAGGAGGAAGAGGATGACATTTGCTTTGGGGGGCTTTGGGTCGGACGGAATGGGTCTGAGGTGCAAGGTTTCCGGACGCCTCCGTAGGTTCCTCGGGATGCTCTCGAGCAGCTGCGCCTCGCAGAGAGCGCTCTGGGTGTGGAGGAGGAGCAGCAGGAGGAGGCGGACGAGGAGGAGAACAGAGGGGGAGGGCGGGATGGGGAAAGGGGGGTACGAGACCTGATCTCCCTCCTCGTCCTCCTCCTCCTCCTCCTTCTCCTCCTTCCCCTCTTCCTCCTCCTTCTTCTCTCCTCCTCCTCCTTTTCCTCCTCCTCCCCTCCTCCTCCTCCTCCTCTTCCTCCTCCTCCCTGTCTCTGCTCCTCGTCCCCAAACCTGCCCCCTCTTCCCCCCTCTCCTCCTCCTCCTGTTCCCCCCTCCCCTCCCCCCTCCCCCTGCGGAGCTTGCCGCGTGCAGCCGGCTCCGGCCCCGCCGCCGGGCGCCTGCCCTCGCTGCACCCGCGCGGGGAGGCGCCGGGAGGCGCCAGGGAACCCGCGAGGGGCTGGTTCGCCCACCGCCCCCCTTGTCTCGGGGAAACGTAAGACTCGAGTACAGTCGGTGCCCTGAAGAAGGAACCCTTTTCGTTGGGGAGGGGCTCCGTGTTCCTTAATTGTTTCGCAGCTTGCCTCAGGTTTTCCTTAGGTTTTCGATACGAAATCGAAGTTCAACTTGTGGAAAATAAGGGCCTCGTTCTTATTTAGGGTTCCTTAGGTCAAGGCCCCGACTGTAAGCCGTACCTCGGGTTTGCCGGCTTCTTTTTTGACGAGCGCGTCCTGGTTTTTGGCGGTCCGTTTTCGCGGGATGTCTGCAGCGGGAGCCCGCGTCAAATTTCAGAGTGGGCCTCCTCATTTTTATGATGGCCCCCGTCAGGCCAAGCCGAGTCCCCCGTACCCGAGTCTGACGTCTCCCCGATTGTCGACGGCGGGCCCTGGGGGGGGGAGGTTCGAGCTGCGAGGTTCGAGGTCCGAGGTTCGAGCTGCGAGGTTCGAGCTGCGAGGTTCGAGCTGCGAGGTTCGAGCTGCGAGGTTCGAGGCTCGAGCTCGACGTGCGAGCTGCGAGGTTCGAGGCTGCTCTTTCCAGGCGTTTTCGGCCTCCTGCGGGGGCCGCTTTCGGGCCCGGGGGCCCCGGAGACTCGATCCGGGGTGAGAGTCCGAGTCGGATGGGCTCCTGGAGGGACTGGGGATCGGCGGCGCGCCTGCGGGGGGAGTGCGTAGGAGAAGGGATTCTCAGAAGGCGGCAGGCGGCGGGACTTCTCAGAAACCCTCGCGCCTTCTGAGCAGTTTTCTGTGTCTTCGGGGAAGGCCAGAGCGCGCAGCCCGACCGTGACCGCCTGCCGCTGGCGCTTCCGCCTGCGGCCGTAAAAAAAAGAAAAGAAGGCCAGAGCACTTTCCAGAACTCTGGGGGACTTCCGGGCCTTTGCCATCCCTCAGCCACGCGCAGAGGGGGGAATGCTTCTGAGAATCAACCCTGCTTCTCAGAAAGTTCGGGCCTTCTCTCTCTCTCTCTCTCTCTCTCTCTCTCTCACATATATATATATATATATATATATATATATGCTGTGATCGGTTTTCTCGATTTGGGCCGAAGAGGCCCACATCTTTGATTTTCATTGTTTTTTTCGACGTGTTTCGGTTTCTCGTGTTCTCGACCTTCCGACGCTCCAAGACGGCCGACGACGCCCCCAAGACCGCTCCCAGACCGCCGAAGAGGCCCCCAACAGAGCCCCGAGACTGCCCTGGGGAACCCGGAAATTACCCAGGAGGAGCCTCGGACGGCCAAGCTGGGCCAAAGAGCTGGGCCAAGGAGCGGAAGCGGGAGGCCCCAAGGCGCTCCAAGAGGGCCCAGCTGGCCCCAACGTGGCCCAGGGACGGGCCCATCACGGCCAGGACACAGCCCAAGAGGCCTCCAAGAGGCCCCAAGAGAGCCGAGAGGCGTCCCGAGAGAGCCCGAAGAGGCCCACATCCTTGATTTCCAGCTGTTTTTTCAATGTTTTTCGCTTCCTCGCGTTCTCGAGCTTCCAACGCTCCAAGACGGCCGAAGACGCCCGAAGATCGCCCCAAGACCGCCGAAGAGGCCCTAAAAAGAGCACCAAGAGGGCCCCGGAGAGCTTGAAGACTGCCCAAGAGAGCAGCCCAAGATTGCCTGATAATCCCAGGAGAGGCACAAGATGGGCCCCAGAGCGGGAGCGGGAGACCTCCAGGCGCTCCAAGACGGCCCAGGTGATTCCAAGTGGCCCCAGGGGAGCTCAAGACGGCAAACACACAGCCCAAGAGGCCTCCAAGAGGGCCCAAGAGAGCTCCGAGAGACGTCCCGAGAGAGTCCAAAGAGGCCCAAATCATTGATTTGCTTTGGTTTGCTTAATATTTTTCGCTTTTTCGCGGTCTCGAGCTTCCAATGCTCGAAGACGGCCGCAGACGCCCCCAAGACCGCCCCAAGACCGCCGAAGAAGCACCCAAAAGAGCTTCAAGATAGCTCCAGGGAGCTTGAAAATTGCCCAGGAGGAGCCCCAGACGGCCCAAGAGAGCCCCAGGACAGGCCACAGAGCGGGAGCGGGAGGCCCAAGGGCCATCCCAGACGGCCCAGATGGCCCGGGCCTCCCCCCTCCGCCCCTCCTTCCCTCCCGCCCCCTCCCCTTGCCTGCATTCCCTCCTCTCTCTTCTTCCTCCCCTCACCCCTCAGCTTTCGTGCTCCTCCCTCCTCTCTTGGGACGGCCCGCCGGAGCGCCAGATAGGCCCCGCCAGAGCGAGCGGGGCATCGCTATACGCTATAATTTCACAAGTTGTTTTGCCCCTCCCACCCCTCAAGGGCGGCCCCGGCAGAGCGAGAGGGGTGTTGCTATACCATATACAGTCCCTGTTTTGGTGTGCTCCTCCCACCGCACCCGAGGTAGCCCCGTCAGACCGCACGGGGTTTGGCTATACCATACTTTTCCTCAGGTTTCGTGCTCCTCCTTCCCCTCCTGGGCAAGCCCCGCCAGAGCGCCGGGGAAAACCCCGCCAGAGAGAGCAGGGCATCGCCACACCCCCCTCCCTCACCTCCTGAAAAGCTTTGCCAGAGCGCCAAGAAGGTACCGCCAGAGGCCCCGCCAGAGCTTCAGGCAGCACCATACATGGGATTTGCCAGGCAAATCATTGAGCATCCCCCGTGAGCCCGAACCTTGTGCTCCCACGGGTGCGATTATCCACGGCATGAGGTTTGGCGCGCAGCACAAAGAAGCTTCCCCACTCCCGTGGACGGATTCGATAAACACTGATTGCAGAGAAGGGCAATGATGACCGGGACTGGGACATCTGCGCGCGCCTTCTGCAGATACCCGACAGCTCAACGACCGCTGAAAGCGAGAAGCCTGGATCACAAGGGAGAAGGAAAAACAATGCGCTCCCACGCGCACGCAACGAGGCCCCGAGCCAACCCCAACATCAGGATCCGGCGGATGTCTGCGTGACCGGGCATGGGGAAACCGAGCATATGTGCAAACACATTGAGTGTCATGACGGAGCAGACCGGAAGTGAAAGTGGAGAAAACAGCGCAGTGCGATAAACCAATCAAATGCGGCAGCGAGATGGTGAGATACGCGGGAACGTGGCGCCCCGCGTTATGGCTGCGCGTTTCTTTGCGTCGATGGCATTGGCCCGAAAACGCTGGAAATCGGCGTTGTGGCCACAGCGGGGCTTACAGCGGCACCCGTGGCTCATCTGCGATTAGAACCTAAGCGCGCGCGTAGCGCGCGCGTGGGAGGCTCGAACATCGCCCCGCAAACATCCGAAAGGGCTTCCAGCGGCTTCCAGGCATTCCAAGAGTCTCAAGATGGCACAACAGGGTCCCAAGATGGCCCAAGAGAGCCCCTATGACGGCCCAAGATGGCCCCATGGCCCAAGACCCCTTCCGCAGCATTCCAAATCGTGA